GCCACTAGCTAGGCAGTCCCACGCACTTTGTATCCATTTCTCTTGCAAGGTTTGCACCTCCTTGGAATTGCTGTCTGGTATGTGGAGCTCTGGAACTTTCTCCTCCGGATCCCTTGTTCTTCTTTCTGGCCAAGAGGTAGTGAAGGGGTTGGGGGCTGGCAGCCACCTGCCCTCCGTCCTTCTCTAGTTTCTCTGGTCTATTCCTGGGACTGTCCCCCTTCATTTTATATACCAAACTTTTTTTCTTTAGACCTTAGAAAACAAAACCACAACAATTGGTATCTGACTGTTTCACACAGGGCCTCAGTCCTTCCCGGAGGTAAGGAAGTTTGGAGCCAACTGCACTTCTTAACGAGACAGAATGTGGAGTGAGGGAAATGAGACAATATCATCTAAATCTCAAAATGTAACCAGATCCCACAAATATTTAGGAGGTATGAGAGCTGTCTTGAAGTCTTAGAGGATACGAATGGAGGAGATGACATCAAATAAATAAAATAAATTATCAAAACAAAATGAGTCTCTGTCAGAAACAGCATATTTTGAAAGGAAGTGGAGATCTTTTTTAAAGGTTAAAACCTCATTCAATTTTATGCCTTATAGTGTTTATACTGAGTAATGTATAACTGTATTAATTCAACTGTGAACCTAAAAAATTACAGCCAATTTGGAAAGAGATACATCTTAGCTCTGGAAATTGTTGTTGAATATGTCAATGCTGTTGTAATGAAATGCTTCTTCTAATAAATAATTTAAAAAAACACTGCATGTACTTCCTGACAGAACCTTTTACTCTGCATCTTGTAGAATTATGGGATATAGCATCCTGCTCTTGAGCACTAAGCAGCTGACCGTATTTGATCTCTTCCATCAAAGTGCGTAACTCAAGCGTTCCTTCCACATGTACCTTGAATGTGAGGACCAGGACGGGACTTTTTTGGAAGGTGCTATCAGATGAGTGCTTCTCAAGCTCTGTCTAAGGGTGACTCTATTATTTAATATCTAAGCAAGTTCTTAGAGAATAAAAAGGGGTTTTCCTGCTTTCGTTTTTGCTATTATAACAAAATACCACAGACTGGGTAATTTAAAAACAATAGAAATTGGGGCTGGAGAAATGGCTCAGCAGCTAAGAGCACTGGATGCTCTTGCAGAGGACCCAAGTTCAAATCCCGGCACCTCCACAGCAGCTAACAACCATCAATAACTCCAGTTCCATGGAATCTGACACCTTTTTCTGACCTCCATGGGCACTGCACAACACGGGTGCACTTACATACATGGATGCAATACACTCATACACATAAAATAATAAAATAAAATAAAGTAAAATAAATATTAGAAGGGCTAGAGAGATGCTCAGTGCTTAACACTACTGGCTGATCTTGCAGAGGACCCGGGTTCAGTTCCAGCACCCACATGGGGGCTAACAACTGTACATATCTCCAGTTCCAGGAAATCCGAACCCCTCTTCTGACCTCCTCAGACATTGTGCACTTACATACGTGCAGGCAATACACTCATACACATAAAATAAAAATAATAAATATGAAGAAGGCAGTTTATGTGGCTCACAATTCTGAAGGCTAAGAAGACCAAGATCAATGGGCCACATCTGGCGAGGCCTCCATTACCTCATCACTTGGCATCAGGAATCACTTGTGGGAGAAGGCTGAAGCCACTTTCGAACACACCACTCCCACAAAATAGTATTGCTCATCTATGAGGAGGGAAACTTCCTGATCCAGTCAGCCCTTAAAGTTCTCAGCTCTGGGTGCTATTGCATTGGAGATTAAGTTTCTGCATTGAACATTTGGGGAGATATGCAAATTTCAACCATAAAGGGGTACTATAAATAATTATTCAAGAATAATCAGTGTGATTATCTTGTGACCCAATCTAATTTCTGATTTCTCTGCTAGACTAGATTTGGAAAGTCTCTTCTTAATTTAGTTTGTTAAAAAAAAAAAATACCTATACTGAATATACTTTTACACTGTGTCAGCACTCCTCCAAGAACAACCCAATTTCTCCCATGAAGAGATTCATCTGAAGACTCTCCCCCTGAATCTTCAGCTGCAAAAAATAGTACAGCACACCTGTAATGGCAGCACTCAGGAGGAAGAGGCTAGAGAATCATGAGTTAGGGGACAGCCTGTGATATCGTGTAAGATCAGCCTAAGTCACATAGTAAAACCTTATTTCAAAAATATAAGGCCTTGGGATGTACCTTGGTAGCAGAGTGCTTGCTTACCATGTGCAAGTCCTTGGGTTCAAATTCTAACACCACAAGAAGAAAAGAAAGGAAAAGGGGAAGGGGAGAGAAGGGAGAGGAGGGGGAAGAGGAGAGGAGGGGGAAGGGAAAGAATATAGGAAGGAGAGGAAGTAGCAATTTGCCAGTTCTTTAGTGACCCAGCAGAAGTGTGCTACAGGACAGAGAGAAGTCAGGTCGATTTGTCCCAGTGAGCAAGAGTCGCTCAGGAAAGTAAAAGGCCCCTTCAGAACAGAGAGATTAAGGAATGGTTTTGTTTCATGAAATGGAAACTTTCAATGAGCACAGTCAGTAAATGACAAATCTAATCACCACTGCCTTCGGCATGGCTACTAAATCAGCTCCACCAAGACTAATGGAAAGATACCAAAACTAGTACAAATGTCCCACAGGTTGTGGGATGCAACTGCATTCACCTGCTTGATTATGTGAGGAACTGGATTCTGAAAGAACAAAGATAAAATAGAATTCGTGTGATAGGAACAATATGTCCATAATACATCCCCCAGGAGAGATAAAAAGTCAAAAAGCACCAGATCTTTGAGGCTGAGCTAGTCTAAAGCTGTCACTGATAGACCGTGGAGTCTCATGAGATTTTGCTATGCATTGTTCCCTGGAATGAAGTTCCTAGATAGACTTGCTTTTGGCAAAAAAGAAATTAAGCCTCATCCATTGATATACTCACGATGGGTTGTCCTGATGCAGAGCCTTCCAGGATACACCACAGTCATTACTATTCATTGATCAGAAAGTAGTCAGCAAAAGATGGAGAGGTGATGGTGTCCCACAGGACTCCATAGGAACTCTAAGTGCTAGGCTTGAGCTTTGCCATGCTTTGAGTATGTCCCCTAAAAATCATATGTTGGAGACTTAATCTCCAAATGTATATCCCAATACTATTTGGAGGTGAGGCCTTTGGGAGGGAGGAGGACTAAAGGATGTCTCCATGAGGGCATCCATGGCTTTAGGAGAAGACAAGAGAAGCATGCACTAGCATGTTTGTCCTGTCTCACATATGATACGCTCTGCCATGTGCCCAGGCAGCCAGAAGACGCTGACCCAGTATTAGTGAAGACTCTTTAGAAGAACAGATCTGATGGAATAAATATATACTAAAGGAGGATTTATTATACTGGCTTACACCATTTGGTTGGAGCAGTCCCACACTGGCTGTATCATACTGGGAGCCCAAGAATCTGGTAAATGTCCAGTATGGAAGACTGGCTGTCTCAGCAGTCCAAATCTGACACCAAACGCCTGCAGGATTCACCTAGAGCTGTTGGTTTTTCGATCTTCATTGGAAACCTGAAGCACATGGTTCTTTTTAAAAATATTTCATTATTTTTATTTTATGTGTACGAGTATATTACCTGCATGTGTGTAAGTGAACCTGTGTTGTGCAATGCTCATGGAGGTCAGAAGAAGGCATTGGATTCCCTTGAAACTGGAGTTATTGACGGTTGTTAGCTGCCATGTGGGTGCTGGGAATTGAACCCAGGTCCTCTACAAGAGCAGCCAGCTAACTTCTAAGTTATCTCTCCAGTCCCGAGAACATGATTCTATTATCAGCAAAAAAAATGCGACCAAAACAGCAACAGGTTAGTTGAACTAACATCAGCGAGAGTAAAGGCCAGGTGAGCAAAAAAAAAAAAAAAAAGTGAAGCCTTTTTTCTTTCTTGTCCTTTTATCTGGGATGTCCCCACATTTAGTCTGCATCTTCCCATATCTATTAAGTCAAGAGAGTCTCTCACAGACAGACCCACAGGCCAACCTGATGTCAAAAGTCCTCACTGAGTCTCCCCAGGTGATTCTAGGGTACTGCAAGTTTACAGTTAAAGCTACGCAAACACTATTATTGCTAGAACTTGCATAATGGTGTGAATGTGTCCCATGGGCAGATAAGAAGTAGGAGGAAGAAAAGGGTGAAGTATCTGGGCCCTTGTGAAGGCCCTGAATTTGGAAAGATGACCTGAGGAGTTTTCCCACCTGCAAGCCAGCATCACCCAGACCTCAGGGAAGCTCAATGTGCCCACCGTCTGCAATCAGGAAACTGAAGAACATTACCACCATTTCTCTCAAGGGTCTAAAAAAGGGAGAAGTTGACCATCTGGAAGCTTCTCTGCTGAGCACAGCCACAGATGAAGAGAAGATGCAGCTTGACTAGCAACCCCTTCAGAGGCGTGCTGCTACACTCGCTCATCTACAGAGGTGAGCAGACAGGACTGTGTACTTGGCACTAAGGCAGCACCTCTATCTCTTTCCTAGTTTGTGAATGGGGTCGAGAAGGGAAACCCTTCCCCAGCACCATTTAGTAACCACTGCCAGACAACACAGTTTCATTGTGTGTCCTCAACAACCAGACTCTAGGGGTAAAAATCAGAACATCTTTGTCTCCAATTAGGCAAATTAAGTCCCTTTTGAAGGCCCTTTCATATTCGCAATCTCTGGGAAGATTTTTTTTTTTTAATCACTCATGCCCTGTGGTCTGTTTGAACATGAAATTGTTTTACACTCCTGAATCAGACATTCCTCTTCAACTATTTCTACATAGCTTCCAGGATGCAAAACCACCCTCCCCACCCCTACCCCCACCCCCTCAACTCCCCAGAAAGGATGTTTTCTCTCATCTAAGCCAACAATCAGGCCGCTGTGGTGGAGCTTGGCATTGCTTAAGCTTTTTCTCCTCTGTTGTTTGTTCTGCCAGACTCTGACTCGGACATTTCACCCCAGATCTGATGGGTGAGTGCTCGCTCTTCTGCTGGCCTACTGCCTGCAGCCCTTTCTACTTTAATCTCCGTGAATATGCACAGCAGCGTGATGAACCTAGGACCTGGGCCCTGGGCCACCTTATAAGGAAAAGGTAAGTTACTCGCAGATACAGTTGTGTCAAAGATTATGTGTGGGAGACCTTCCTGGAAAATTTGGGTGTGCCTGATATGCAATCACATACACCATTAGAAGAAGGACAGAAAGGGAAATTTCACACAGACAGAAAATGAGATGGGAATAGAGCCAAGGATGCCGAGCAGAGAGAGGTACAGACACGAGCCAAGGAATGCTACACTCCAGCCAACATTGAAAGAAGCACCTTCAAGAGGGACCAGTGCCCTGGCAAAACCTTGATTTTGAACTTTTGGTCTCTACAAGTACATGAGAATAAAGTTATGTTGTTTTAAGGTGTTTCAGTGTTTATAGCAGCCAAAGGGAATAATACACATTGGATCACTTTTAGCACAGCGGCTTCTTGAATCACAGCTAAGCACATCTCTACATGTAAACCTCAACGGCACTGATGAGAAAGATCTGACTCTGGGATCTTAGAAGCTCCTGAGCCTCTTTGATTGCTTCAAATCACACAAGCCCCAGAAGGTATTCAGGCATGAACTCTGTGTTCCGTGGTAGGCTCTCTGCTCTGAGTTTTCTCTTCTCTTCTAAGAAAATACACTACACAGAATGTCCTTCCTGCACTTGATAATGACTGTACATGTTTGAATGTCAGCAAGGCACTTCATTCTTCTACACTTTGATTTCATGATCTGCACATAGAACTCATAAAACATCTACCTCATTAAAAAGAAATTCCTTTAGCGTTGGGCTATATCAGAAATTCTTCAATAAATTTATTTTTATCGGGATAAATTTACTACCTAGTTCCTCAATACCTTGTGGCCCTGCCTTAACAGACTCAGACACACTGGGCAGATGTGAATCATATAAGAAAAACTAGAGGGTTCATAGAATCTCCTAGAATAACTTTAATCATAACTAACACAGAAGATGTTATTTTAGTTATGTTTACACCATTTCTATCTAGAGGAATTTTCAAGTCAGTCAAAGAAACTGTGTTTTAGGTTAAAACTTAAGACAGCAAGATTCAATTATGAAAAAAATTTTTATAAATTTAAATGAAAAATATCTTACTAATTTTGAAAACTTTAAGGAATTGAGGGAGTAGAGAATTCTTTTTCCTTTTTATGTATTTTTCTCAATCCAGACTTTGCATTCCATGCAACATTATAAATGGCAAAATGTTATTGCAGGGTCTTAAATATGGTTCAGGCATTAAAAAAAAACATTAATATAAGCCAGGCTGAAAAAAAAATGGCAGTTTCTAGAACCTAAATTAAATTGGTTGCTGTCCAAGATTTTATGCATTATAAGATGCCAGGAAAAAAAATGGACCATTAATCATTTTCTGCAGGTATTTGGAGTCTCCCACACACCCAAGGATGAAAGTGCTTAGGAAACAGTTTGCAGGGGTACTCAGTATAGCCAGAAAGGCCAAATAGAGAAGGTCAAGGAGCAGCAGGGAATTCTGGTCCCAGGATCTGAGATCAAGAAGTAGGGCAGGTTGACTACATGGTTCCCAATCAATGGTGCAGAGCCTCTCTGGCCTTCTGCCTCTACCATGAGAGAGTTGAACTAGATGTTCTTTGAGAGTTTTTTCAAGTTCCACTACTCTATGGCAGCACAGAGACCAAGCAAAACAATGGACGGAAGAGTGCATTTAGAGTCAGCACAGACCAGAACATGAAGGGCTTGCAAGGCGATCAGCTCTGCTCTAGGCAAGGTGCCCTCGCTGACGGCTTTTCCTGATACCCAGTAGAATCCTGAAGCAGAAATGCCCACCCCAGGATGTTCCTTGGTTCCTCTTGGTTGACTCTCTTCAGTGCGCTGCCATGGGACCTGGGCGTTTCCACGCATGTGCCTGTTTAAGATCTGTCTCCACCCATAGACTGTCAGTTCCTACAGGACAGAAACTGCCTTGCTGCTGTAGAGTGAAGAAGAGGCCTGGCCAAGTAGGAGTGAGCCAATGAGGGAATGAATCCATCTGCTGTCTGCACTGAAACAAAGAGAACTTTTCAAAATGCAAAGATCATCATGCCCTTACCCAGTATAGATCTCATCTTGACTGTGAAGAGAAAGACTAAATCTCTCACCCTGGCCTGCTATTGGCTCCAGCTTCCCCTCACTCCACTCTCATCCCACACTCAGAATCGCATCCTCTCTCCATTCTTCTCAAGCACATGCTAATCCTGCCCCCACCTGGGGCTTCTGCACACCCCATGCCCCCGGGCACAGGAGCACCTCCATGAGCAGCATGTGCAAAACTCACCCTCAGCCATCACCCAACAAACTGCCCGTTGTCATTTATTATCTTGACTCTTCTCTGAGAGGAACCCTGGATGGACACCTGCACAACCTGCTCTCCTGGAAGCGACCTTCTGCCCCTTTTCCCATGTAGTTATCTCGGGATCCAGAAGTTCACTTGTTCATCTGAATCTGCAGTCAGTGTCTATCACCTCTCATTGTCAGATCTGAGGGAGCAGCAGTAGTCTGCTTTTGCTTCACCATGGAGCCCTCAAGCTTTAGCTTACAAACTGATGCCCAGAAATCTCACAATTAATACTTGCAGAAGAAAGGGAATGTTGAGCAGCAAACAATGGAGCTACTCGTGGCTTTATAATTGAATACATGATCGCTAATCTATCCTAAGAAAATTGTTTTTCAACCCAGTGTCACAGGTAATGAAGACAGGTTTCCTATTAAAACCCGTCTCCTCCAACGAAAAAGCTGTGCACCTTTCAGGTGATTAATTATATCAGAGACTGGTGAGGAAGGCTTCCTGGAGACATAGTCCCTCTGAGCAAGCAGAGCTCCTGGCTGCCCTCTCCTTATACTCCCTCATTCCAACCAGAACGTTTTAATTTGGAGAAAATAACAAAGCTCAAGAGAATCAGGGGAAAGGGAGGGTGGTCATGTGGGCCAGGGGATTGGAGTTCACGTCTGGTCACCATTTAGGGCCTGGAAGCAAAGAACTGAAGCCAAGGAACTGGCAGCTGCAACTGCTCTTTGTTCTGTTTTCTACTCTTCTTATGTTTTATTTTAAAGAAAATTCCACAAAATACTGTTCTGGGCTTAGAGTAAAAATGTTTTCTGTATTATTAAGGATCTAAAACCAGTGTTCCTTCAACCTTCTATAAACTCCTAGAAAAACATTTGCTATTAGGAGAGAAAGGTGAGTTCAGGGTTGAAAGATTTTATGATAAAGTGTTTTTATCAAGGGAGAGAAGATCATAATATTGGTCCCTGTACATGCACTAACCCAGCACTAACCAGGATGAACGTGGTAGACATCCCAGCACTAACCAGGACAAATGTGGTGGACATCCCAGCACTAACCGGGATGAATGTGGTAGACGTCCCAGCACTAACCAGGACAAATGTGGTGGGCATCCCAGCACTAACCGGGATGAACGTGGTAGACATCCCAGCACTAACCAGCAAGAGTAGAGGAGGCATCTCAGTGCTGAGCAGAAAACAAAGGAGACCACTCAGCATCAATAAGGAACAGAGGAGAATTATATATATAGTCTTTCTGGAAGGAACCAAACATGTCATGAAAAGGAAAATGCAGGGGTGCAGAGAAGTTGAAGAGATAGTCATATGGACGGTGGGAAGAGTCAAATGACAATGCTTATTCAAGCAGAACATACAGGGGAGAAGGAGACAGAAAGGACTCTGCCTGAGATAAGAGAAAAATGTAAACATAATCTCCACCAGCGTGAGAAAACACCCATAAATCTTGCAGGAATGTGATACACTGGAAACTGGGAGGGTGGATCTACTCCAGATCTTATCATCACTCATGTTCTGGAGCCAGAAATTGAAAAACTGAAGGGGAAATATGAGTGAACTGTTAGTTTTCTTTACCATACACACTCCCCACTGCCTCCCTAGAGGAGGACTCCTGGGTTGGAGTTCTGAATCCATCTGTACCTGGAACAGCCACTCCGCCCATCTGGACTCTCATTTCTCATGTACAAAAGGGGCTTTTCTATCCCCCTCTTAGATCCAGGAAGTCCCTAACATCTGGCCAGCATACTACGTGTGGAAGAGCCAGGCTGTCTTATCTCCAGCCCCACTGTTCTCTGGACCAGCTGTGCAACATTGCCAGGAAGCTCAGCTTCATTCAGACTGTTTATTCATTAGAAAAATGGGAGAAACAGGGACTGGAGAGATGGCCCAGCACTTAAGAGCACTGGTTGCCTTTTCAGAGGACTTGGGTTTGGTTCCTAGCACCCACATGGCAGCTAACAACTATCTGTAACTCCAGTTACAGGGAATCCAGTGCCCTCTTCTGGCCTCTGTGGACACTGGATCTTTGTGGTACACTAAAATTCACGCAGGCAAAACACTCATGTACATAAAATATTTGCTTTGATTTTTTAAAAAAGAAAAGAGAAATGAGAGAAACATTGAGAAATCACCTACTGTGGTTGAGAGATTTTCAGAAGTGTACTCTGACTTAAATGATCAGGTTTCGAATACAGCTTAAGGATGCTGATGACCCTGTTCCTTCCTCTAAGGAGCACTGATTCCCAGTGGAGTGTGGGTCAACATGAGCCTCATGCTTCTGAAGCGTGTCTACTAATGACGAGGACGGAAGATAACAGTGAGCCATAGAAAGCCCCAGAAACCTGAAATGTTCAGTAAATATGAATTACTGTGACAGTTTCTCTCTAGAGTTGCCAATCTTTTGAGCTCAGAGATTTGATGAAAATAGAGAGTAAACTGAGTAAGTGAACTTCATATTCAGAGGCAAAGTCTCTGTACCTATCTACCTTTTGAAGCCTTTTTTTTTCTAAATATTTGTTACATGTCATGGTCAACAAATATATAGAGTAAAGGACTTAAAATTTGGTGCCCCATTGAGAATCTGCAAGGTGATCAAGTTCACAGAGAGGTAACTGAGGAAAGATGTGTCAAAAGTCTCGTGGTCTATGTGTGCTTTCCTATTGTAAATAATTCATTGACTTTACGTGTTCATAAGCACTTGGTCTCACATCTATAGGACACATGAAACTAATGATGGGGTTAGAGTCACAAGGAAATGAACCCCATTTCACTTCAGTTTTTAGGATTTCTGCACCAAAACCCATTCTGTTTCCTGGAGAAGAACACTTTTTCCAGATGGAATTTTGTTCCAGCCTCCGAAGAACCATCTGTATCCTCCTGGATGGAAATCACCAAACCTCACCACGTCACTTTCAGTTTGGTTTCTCTTTTTAATATTTTATTTACCATTATTTTTTTAATATGTTCATGAATGTACTGTCTGCATATATGTAAGTGCACCCATGTCATGCAATGCCCATGGAGGCCAGAAGAGAGCATCAGATTCCCCTGGGACTGTAGTAACAACTGGATTTATTAGCCACCATGTGGGTGCTGAGAATCAAACTCAGGTCCTCTGCAAGAACAGCCAGTGCTCTTAACAGCTGAGCCGTCTCTCTAGCCCCTCAGTTTGGTTTCTTAAGAGGAACCTTGTGATGGAGCTCTGACTCACTCCCCCATGGTTAGTTCAGATGAATTAAATATACCAAATACCTGTTTCTCTAACACTCAGCCCTGAATCTATAAGGCATGGAACACTAGTTCACAGAGTCTTCTGATAGAGAAGTGGAATGTCTGGAATATTACATTGCACCAGGTGCTTGATGGAGCTCCTTGATATACTACTTGTGTCTTCTTCCTTTCAATCTGAGGCCTTCCTCATTTTATAATTCTAAAACCTGAGGCTGACAAGCTGACAAAGGTACAATAATGGCTTTAGAATTACATTCCAACCCAGATTTGATAGCTACTAGACCTCCTATGCTTTGTACTAGGCCAGGAGCCCGTCTCTCTAGTCTAATACCACTTTTCACATACAGATAGGGACAGCTACGCCAAAACAAAGTGATTTCCCAGGCTAAACTGAACTTAAAAGGATGCCTTTTTCAAGCTCAGCCTCCTTGATGTCACATAGGATTCACAAAGAAGACACATTCTATCTTCAATGTTTAGAATTTCACCAAAACTGTGTAAAGGGGAAATCTTCTGACTAAGCATTCAAATTTTTCAGTTTTATCCCTAAAGTAAAGAAATCTGGAAATTGAGTGTTTCGTTAGCTAGGAATTAAGTTTGGTACAGTGTAACAGAAAGTATGAACTCTACTGAATTTATCCACCAATGTATTTGAAAAGTGTCTTGATTCTTTGTTCTGTCACTATAAAAACTTAAGGCAACTGTTATCATGCTAGAACATGGAATTTGAGGTAACCCGAATCTGTGTTCCAGGGGCCTGGTCACTCATATTTGGCTCCAGAATAAACTATCTCTTTAAAAAAAGAAAGTACAAACTGCAATGGGCTAAAATAAACCCGGTGCTGAGAAACTGATAGCTTGACATTTCTACAGTGGCATGGGGACACAGACTTCATCCTGAGCACCCAACTTTCAGACGTTCAGTAACTGCAATGGGCTAACATAAACCCAGTGCTGGGAAACTGACAGCTTGGCATTTCTACAGTGTCATTGGGACACAGGCTTCATCCTGAGCACCCAACTTTCAGACATTCAGTGTTTTTATTGCAGCTGCTAAAACTCTAACAATTGCAGTGGCTTTCCAGGCAAGCGGAAGGTAATGGGTCCAAGACGAAAAGTGCATGGCATTTAAGACAACTGCTTAGGATCCTTTCCCTAAAGCCCTACCTAGTGGCTTCTGTTAATGTCTCTGGCACATGGCCACCCTGTGCACAGGCAGAACTAAGACATGTAGATATCTGAGGTAACTACTCTGACAACCCTATGGATTTGATTCTGTGAATACAAAACCACCACAGAATATTAGATAAGTACTACCAAGTCTGACCCAGATGCCCTAAAGATTTTGCAAAATGTCTAACAAGCTGTTAGGTGCATGAACCAAATACTGGGAGAGACTTCATAATGGGCACAGGCAGAACTGTTGCTTCTGTGGCGTCTAACACAGACACTGTATGTAGCCCAGTTACCTCACACACTAGATAACACAGATGTTTAAATGTTACCAAGGTAAAGGTGCAGGACAGTGGCACAATAGTTGAAAGTTATTTTTAACTCGATCTAAATAAAAAGAAACTATGATTTAATGAAGAATGTTGGTGAATGCTTCAAAGCCCCTGAACTGTTGGTCTCTGAACTTCAGTTTCACTCAGAATCCCCCCAATAAACCCATGCCTCATCTTATGACCAAAACCAAAATGCCCCTAATGAGAGGAAGAGACCAGGACACCAGGGAAACCAGATTTCCCCTTCACCTTCACAGAGCCCATCTTGACAAGCCTCGGGGAACCATCCTTCCACCAAGGCCTGCATGAGCCTCTGAACAATTGGCAACAGTCCTAGGATCTCCTTGCTGGAGTTAACTTTGAAAGTGTTCAAGGCCAGTGCCTTCTGAGAGCCTAGGAGGATGAAAAAGAACTGCACAGCCAGCAAATGGAGGCTGGCTGGCAAAAGGACTCAGCCAAGGACTTCCAGCACAAGGCTCAGTTCTGATAGGAACTTTGATTCCAGTAGGAGGCCACTTCTAGCCACAGTGAGGACCTGTGTGTCCCAGTGACACCAAGGAAAAATTGTCCTTGGAGCTGCTGCAGCACAGGCTGTAGCTTTAGCTGACTTTGGTATGCTTCTTTAAGGTACTTAAACAAGGTCTATGTGGTTGGCTGAGCATCTGTTGGTCAATGCTTGATCCTTGGAATTTAGAATCCAGAGCCATGGCACACGACTAATAGCGCAGTTGCTGATGAATCAGAGTGATACCTACCTGAAAAAGAGCTTCCACAATCAGGTCCCCCATGTTAACACGCCCACTGTTCTCTCTATTTCTTTATTCCAGGCTGTGTTTACTCTTTTCTACTTTTTGTTACATGAAGCTATTCTGAAAAGTCATGAATTACAGCCCAAGAACAAGTTCAGGAGAAGCATGTAGATAAAAACCACACCACAAAGGCACCACAACAAAGAAGACTGACTTCACAGCCCAGCAGCTCCTAGACTCTTCTGATGACACAGCCCCCACATTGACGTCCAATGGAGGCTCAGAATTTTACAAAATACAAGTCATTATTTGTAACTACAGAATCCTTATGTTATATTTGTGTCCTTGATAATTCTTGCCTGGCATCCTAACAGGAAAGGTACGACCAGAAAGGAAAAAAAAAAAAAAAAAAAAACTTCTGGAAAACTTAAACCACATAGACTGAGGTAAAGTGATTTTTTACAGTATCTCCTGACTATATACACATGCAAGTGTTGCTAACAGCCATTAATGGTGTCATACTTGATCTTCACAGATGTGAGCATGCACAGCTGCATCTCATGCCTTTGAACTCCCGCCAACGCAACTACAGTCTTATTCCTACATCGTCTTGTGTTGACTTTTAGCTCTCGTGCATGTTTGTCCTGGTTTCGAGGAGTTTTGCTCTACCTGAGATTTTCAAATGCTTTTGCTTCCTGGACTCACACAGTCTGCAGTCGAGTTCTGCTCGTGACAGCTGCTATAGGCTTCACTGCTTGTGCATCATGTGAACCGTATCCACTCTGCAGCTGCTAGAGTAAAAGGGGTTGGTAGAAATTTGCAGTCTCCCTGCTGCATACTCCAAGTTCAGAACCAGCTAAAAGATAAAAGGTTGTATAGGTGATGCAGAAGCTGTGAGCTTCATTGAGCACCAGCCAAAGCTTGTGGGAGGGTGTGGCTTAGATGGAATGTCTGAGTTGGCCTCCTCATACCTCCTTTAGAATTGGGTAGATAAATCAATGGGTCACTGGTGTAACCAGGCTGGCACACAGAAAAATACCCTTTTATAAAATAAAGGTATAGAACAGAGTGAATCCAGAGAAGGCAATCAAACGTGCATAGCTTGTATTCTGGTCTTGGTTTATTTTTATGTCTATGAGTGTTTTGACTGCATGTATGTAAGTGCACTCATGCAGGCAATACCCACAGAAGCCAGAAGAGGGCATCAGATCTTCAAAGTGGAGTTACAGAAGATTGCTAGCCTCAATATGGGTGCTGGGAACAAACTGGGTCCTCAGCAAGAGTAGGCCAATGCTCTTAACCTCTGAACCATCTCTCCAGCCCCCTAGCTCATGTTCTGAATCCTGTGTAGATAAATCACCTCTTCTCCTTTGGGAAGGATTAGCTCCAGGAGTTAGGAGCTCTGTTCTCTCTGAGAGGGGTAGGGCATCTTCCCATTTAAATTCCATAGGTGCCTGGCTTTTTTCTCCCACTGGATATTAATCTACTGTCCTGAGAGGATCATTTATTTATTATGTGCCAAACCCAACACCCAGTACATAATTCAAGATAACCCTCTCATAAATTCTGTGGATGGGATTTATATATCCCAGATGAGTAGAGGTTTTGGTCTTTTGAACAGCACAGATTTTTGTAATTCACATGGCCCTGCAATGCACACAGCACTGTTCCCAGACTTCCCATGGAGCCTCCTGTGTGCCAGGAGGTTACAGAGCAAAGACAGTGACACATCTGGGAAGCCTGAAGAATTTGTCCTAAGAACAGCCATAAATGTTTTTGGATATATGTACTTTATTCAATAAGAATGTCCCCTTTGGGGGCTGGAGAGATGGCTCAGCAGTTAAGAGGATGGACTGCCCTTCCAAAGGACTCCAGTTCCATCCCTAGCACCCACAGCAGCCTGCAAACAACAGCGTGTCACTCCAGCTCCAGGCAGTCCAAAACCCTCTTCTGGCCTCTGTGGGCACCTGCATACAGGAGCACAAACCACACACACACACACACACACACACACACACACACACACAAACAATTAAAAAATAAAACAATTTTTTCTCTGACACTTTTCAACTAAACAACACCTAACTCTTAGGAAAGACCTGTTTGTAAGACTGCCAAGGAGTAACAAAATGCATGCTGGTGAACCACACGGTGGCCTTATCTGAAAGCAACTAAGAATCTTCGTTTTCAGTCCAGGGAGTAGCCATGCAACACACTCCTTTTAAAACACAATGCATGATTAGAGTGCTTGATAAGTTAGAAGTAGGCACAATTATGGGCTTACAAAGAGTGTTTTAGTAGGAAAGGTAAATAAGATTAGTTGCTGGGGTAAACAGCACTAAATCTCTGGGACTAATTTATCACAATAAACATTTCTTTACAGACCAGGGCTACTGTCCAGCAGGAATCAGAAAAGGGTTTTATTCCTACTTAGAGTCCTCTGGAGCTTCTGAATACTTCATATTCAGCCTAAGTATTAAAAAAGAAGTTAGGATGGGTGCGAGGATGTCTGGTTTGGTTTCCAAAAGAAACCAAAATGAATAATGTTTGCAGTGATGGATAGAACAGTTATCCTGACTTGATCATTATGTATGAGTTGAAATATGGCACTAAACCTATAAATACATACAATTGTTGTAGTTTAAAATTTTTAAATACAAAAAAACTGAACCTGTAAAGATGCTCAGAATCCCTGTCCCCACAAAAAGCACACTCACCACTTCTGTTAAGATGAAGAACTTCAATTTTAATGAAGGTTTGCAATGCATCTAGACCTCAGTTTCCTATTCTGTAAAATGAGAATTATATCTTGACCTCAATCGTTGACAGATTGATAATATATTAAATTTGAAACCCCATGGCAATGCAGGCATCTAGCTGACTCTTAACTAAAGTATATTCAAATTCTTCAAAGGAAAATTAAATGTGAAAAATTCAAATGACTAAGGAGAGTGCCTGAATTGGGCCTCAGTGTGGAGAGCTTCCCAAATCCTGCTGTACTCATCCCCCTACATTGGGACCACCTGCAGTCCCTCCCACTGCCCCAGGGCCAGGCTTCTCTGCTGGCTACTAGGGGCCCAGACCTTTGCCAACTGCCTGAGAGTGCCTGATTCATGCCTGACACAGGTCTCTTCAGGTTGAGCTTCCCAAATCTCACCATGTCCATCTCCCTGCTCTGGGACCATCTGCAGTCCCTCCCACTGCTCCAGGGCTTAGGCTTCCCTGTTGACTAGTAGGGACCAGCACTTCTGTCTCCCATCTCCTCTCCTTGGACCTTAGCACTACCCATCTGTGGTTACTGAAATGCTCCTAACTACCAAGGACCACTTCACTCTCCTGGAGAGCTCCTGAATAGCAGGACTGGAGTCATCTAGTCCTTCCAATATAAAACTAAAAGAGAGAACCTGAAGCCTAGACCAACCAGCTTTTCATCCCTAAGCAGAAAGCAACGAAGGTACATCAATAATACAAGCAGAATCAGACTTCAATTCAACAAAGGAAGACTTGAGTTTCATACCAGAATCACAAGCAATGAAACCACAATGGAAAAATGATGATATGAAAAACCAAAATAATATGTTTCCACCAAATACCACCAGTCCTATAGAAGAGTTCTACAATGAGAACCCCCTAGAGATAACGCAGGACACAGAATTTTAAAAAAAATCATAAATATGATCAAAGAACGTAATGAGTTTAAAGAGCACACAAACTGAAAGAACTAAAAGAAGACAGGGATAAGCTTCTAACCGCAGTCACAGAAGAGAGAAATAGTGAGGAAAACTCGGGCTGAAATGAAAAGGAAGTAAAAACCCAATAAGCCCATTAGAAACGACAGAATAAAGTCTCACCAATAGGATGAATGAAATGGAAAACAGAGTACCAAAACTGGCCAATGAAGCTGAAGAACTGGACTGCTCTAGCAAGAAACAAGACAAAAATTAAAGCAGGAATGGAATACGCAGGAAATGTGGGACAGCACGGAAAGACCAAATTTATACAGCACAGGGACAGAGGAAGGAGAAAAATCTCAAATCTGTAATAACTTTGGTACTTGCCAGTGCTTTCCTAACTACAGACCTCCAGATTGTGATTATAGATTGGATCACCAGGAGAATTGATGACAGAAATGCTCTGAGATCTCGTCAGTACAAATAAACTTGTAAAAAAAAAAAATTCAAAGGACTCAGTAAAAACTTGGTTAAAGACTTGAACAGACATGTCACAAAAGGGCTAAAAATTAAAGTTGAGTCAAGTGTTAGCAAGGGTACAGAGCACTCTAATGCATTGCTTTTGTTTAAAACTGTATAATCAGGGGCTGGAGAGATGATTCGGTGGTTAAAAGCACTGACTGCTCTTGCAGAGGACCCTCATAGCGGGTTCCCAGCACCCACAAGGTGGCTAACAACCATATAACTCCAGTTCCAGAGCATCCAACAACCTCTTCTGACCTCCACGAACATTATATGCACGTGGCGCACTGACATCCATGCTGGCAAAACACTCATATACATAAAATAAAAATAAAAGAAAAATTTTAATTGTATAATTATTTGAAAACAATGTAGCTCTCTTATAAATTTGACTATTCATTGAATCTCCGACCCTGTAATACCTCTCCTTGATATATACCAAGAGAAATTAATGTATATCTCACTCACAAAAAAGCTCTCTGCATAACCACTTCATTCACAATAAGAAAAAAATGACAACAGCCCAAATACCCATCAGAAGGAAATTGGATGAATTGTGGTATATCCATGTGAAATAGAGTAATAGTGAACAAGAAAAAAAAATGGCTAGAGAGATGGCTTCAGTATGGTTCTTACAGAGGATGTGAGTTCAGTTCCCAGCACCCATGCCAGATAGCTCACAAACACCTGTAACTCCAGCTCCAGGTGATGTGACACCTTCTTCTGACCTCAACAGGCACCTGCACTCACATGCACATACCCCCACACAGACATACACATAGACATAATTTTAAATTTTTTAATCTTGAAAAAGCAATAGACTATATATATATATATATAGAAACAGATGAATCTCAAAATATGCTGAACGAAATAAATCATGAAGAGCACAATGTATGCATCATTTTATCCCAAGGTCTTCTATTTTATTTATTTATTATTTTTATGTGTATGAGTGTATTGCCTGAATGTATGTAAGTGCACCTGCATTATGCAGTGCCCATGGAAGTCAAGAGAGGGCATCAGATCCCCTGGAACTGGAGTTACAGATGATTGTTAGCTGTTATGTAGGTCCTGGGAACAGAACCCAGGTCCTCTGGAAGAACAGTTTTCTTAACCACTGAGCCATATCTCCAGCTCCTTATGCTAAGTTCTTAAACAACAAAGACTAATCTACAAAGACAGAAATCAGGTCAGCAGCTGCTGGAATTGGGAGACTTGAGACAGTAACTCACCTCACAGAAGCATGAGTTAGCTCTCTAGGATGAAAGAATTGTCTTACAATTAAATCGGAGTATATACCCTTATGAAAATTCACTTGCTAAACCCTCATGGTTAATGCATGTTATTGACTATAATAAAATACTATGAACATGAAAAATAAAGAAATGGGCCTGAAAGGAGAACAAACGCTATCCTGGCCTTTTGCCTTGTAAATGAAAGCTGGGGTACATCGATGTTAATTATCTGCATCCTGTCTGATACCAAGTCCCCAAGGTGCGGGACACAGGAAAATCAGATCTATATCCTCTAGTACATGTCCCCTAAAGACAAATTGGCTAGTACCCTACTACATAGGTCAATAGGTTCCATATTAGCATTAAAAAAAATTAAATTAAACAAATAACCTCTAACCTAGACATGTCTTAGAGCACATTTTTCTGAAGTTACACAGAGCTTATGAAAACAGGAAATAAAGAGCACTGAAGGCATTGCAGGGGAAAAAAATAATAGATTAAAATGTAAGTGAAGACTACGAGAAAAAGAGAGAAGATGCTTTTTTTTTAAGTTCCAAACTTAGGCTTGCTGAGCTCAGGACGGAGGAAATGAGAGCCCTGGAACGGATGGTCATCAAAGGCAAGGCAGAAAGACAAGAAA